CTACCCTGATAATATGCTACTTGGCCTGTCGAGTTTGTTGCCAAACATGGGGTTAAGTAAGAGTAAAAATTAGTAAATTTTAAGGAAGAGGATATGAAATACAAAGAGAAGTAAATTTTTGTGGCTGGTATCAAATCTCAGGAGTACATTTTCTGAGGTAATTACTTTGATTTGGTATAATGTCATGTTGTCTTTTTTTTATAATCTAGCTTTATGCATTTATAGGTAACAGATGGATCCAAGCAGATTCATATCTGAGGCTTGGATTTAGACATCTAAAAACTCAATTTTCTAGCATGTATCAGAGCTAGTTTTGTATGAGCTATGTTCAGTACTGTACCGTTCAAATAGGCATTCAGTCAGATGTGGAGCCAGAGTAAACTGATTTTGACTGGGGGTGGGGCACAAAGATGGCCTATGAGGAAAGACGAAAGGAGTTCAGGCTCTTCTCCCTGGAGAATAGAACAGTCAGGGGGGAACCTCATCGCAGAATTCCAGGACTTACAGTACTTAGCGTGGCTACAAAGAGGACAGAAGACCTCTCTTCACAAAGAGCCATGTTGAAAGAAGACAAGGGGCAAAAGGTACAATTTGTACCGGAAGAGGTTTCATCTCAATATAAGAAACTCTTTACAGTGAGAACAGTCATTCACTGGAACAGCATCTCTGGGGATGTGGTAGAGTCCCTATCACTGGAGGTTTCAAAGATACAATTGGACAGAGTGCTCGATAATCTCATCTAGGCTTGCTTTCCCATGAAAGGTTGGACCAGATGATCTTTTGAGGTTCCTTCCAACCTGGGCTGTTCTATGATTCTGATTGTTTCTGTGATTGAATTGTTCTTGGGCCTTGCATTCTAATGAGAGCCAGTCTTCCTATTCTCCCTGTCCCATGCCTTTCTAGGCAGGGACTGCCTCAACGCAGATCAGCATTACTCCAGTTCCTACCCATGAAGTCAGTCTGCAAGACATGGCCAGCCCAGGAGGACTGGAGTCACTGATGCTTTTTCTGGGTCAAAGTTGACCTCCACGTAAACTTCTGAATCAGTAGCCTAGCCTGAGTGGTACTGACAGTGGGTCTGGTATGTTGCCCAGTCACTTCACTTGTTTCCTAGCCATAACTTTCTTTGACATGACAACAGTTATTTTTCATAAATTAAGCTGTAAAGAACAAGGTGGAGAAGAGTAGAAATAAATTTCAGAACAAAGCAAACCAGGGAGTGCAATCCAGATGGCAACATTTACAAATGATTGGGTTTCTTTCCCACTAGATCTGGAGATCAAATTCAATTCTCCATCTTAATTCCCTGTTTTCATAGATGTGTTTAGAATACTGATACTGCACCGTGAACTGTGACAGTACTAGAAAATTTTTAAAAGGGCTGTTCCTTCCACTAGAAGCTATGTGGTCTGGCTCTGTTCCAGGACAAGTCTTGTTACTTGTCCTGACACACACAGTTTGTCTTGATTTTTTGAAATATAGTTCACTATTTAGTTGAAGTCAGTTCTGGTTTGGCAGTGAGAAATGGCGCTTGGGTATACGTTCAGTTGATTCAAAGCATGGGAGGTAGCTTAGCTGTTCACTTCAGGTACAAAAACCAGAGTTATCGAGGCTTAGCTGATGAAAGGAAACTTTATCTATATGCTGAATCTTTTTATATGCAGTAAGTTACTGCTATATGGAAAGAAATCTTACATCATCCCTCATAGGTACACTATCCAGTACTGCAGGCTGAGCAGACCCAGGAATTTATTTTAATTGTTAATGGTAGGTTTAATACTTCTCACAAGCTGGAAATGCCAGGAAATAATTGGTGTCTCAGTTCATGGGAGTGTTTATCATTTAGATGGCCCTCACATAAACAGTCTAAACACTAAAGCTGGAAAGACCAATTTAAATCAGTACTTAATACTAGTCTATACTTAGCTCTTCCTTGTGTTTCCCATGAGTGTAGTTTCGCAGTGATAGCAGCAGGAATGAGCACTGCTGATAGCAAGGCACTGGAAATACTTTTTTTTTTTTTTTTTTTTTTCCGTTTGAAACAGAATACAATATTATTTGTAGAGTCTTAAATTACAGAAGTAACTATAGCATTTTAGCTGCACTTGGTCTCTTGTTGCTTCACTGTATATATAGTACTGAATCAGTGCTAGTGCTGCTGTGAGGAAGTAGATAAAACATATGGCACTGTTCTACATTGGTTTATGAGATGCTCCACAAAGTCTGTGCAATGGATGTGGATGTCATCATTGCTAGTAGCTGGCTTTGAAATAGCCCTTGTGATCTGCTTCCTTTCAAATAAAACCTGGAGCTAATCTTAATGTCTGGTTATTGATGAGATAACATGCTTCATGTTCTAGGGACTACCGTATTGTTTGGCTGCTGTGCTTGGTTGGTTGTTTTAGTTATTAGAGAGTAATTATGTACAGAGAGGTAACATAAATGTAGTAAATATATTGGTTAGCTTAGTGCAGGATCAGGACATTAAACCATCTTGCCTTCTAGGTCACTGCTTTGTGCTTCTGGAAGTCATCAAGGATTTAAGGAAGCTAATGCTCTTAGTTGGCACTTATTTCACTTGCTCTGAAAGGACTTTTAACATGTAATTCACTGAACGTGTTGGCTCTGACGTATTTTGAGGCCCTGTCTGTGTGCTTGGTACTCACACTGATAATGGGCAGGTCCAGGTCTGAATGAATTTATAACCTTATAGAAGGCATATGTCTCCTGTAGAGGAGTGTGTTTTACAATGCAGCTGTAGCCACCTCCATCTAAGAGAGAGCTGGGACACCATCAGGTCTCCAATATAGGTCCTTTGCTACTTTCATCTTCTAATTTCACCACTGTCTTTTAGATGTTGGATGTGCTCTTTGGTGCTGCAGCTTGATCTGATGAATCCCTAGCTAGGGAACCTGCACATTGTAGGCTCACAGTAGTCATCTTAAGTTTGGGCTGTGGCAGAAAGGCTGCAATCGTGACTGTAAGCAGGTATGTTGCTCTTGGTGCAGCAGTCCATATGGCAGCTGATAAGTTGTGAACCAAGGAAGAATGTCTGAAATTCCCTTCCAGTAGAGAGGAGAGCTGGGCAGAATGGCTTAGAGGGTGTAAGGATAAAGAATGATAGGAATACTCTAGAGGGACTTCCTTGGTACTTCCTTGCAGGTTGCCCCTGGATATAACCACAGAGAGGATGACATGTTGCAGAGATAGAAATTGAGATGGTTGTCCACACTTGTTTATGAATAAAAGTAGCATGCTTTTTTCATGACTAGGATTTTTTTCAGTTCCAAATGTATACTACTGCAGCAAGACTTGTCATCTGTTTTCACAGAACTGTGGGATGATTGAGATTAGAAGGGACCTCTGGAGGTTTTGGATGAGAGAAGGGCTAGAGGAGTTTTAGGGATTGGTGCTTCTTTTTCTTTCCTTTTTGAAGAAGGATGTGCTTAAAAGCTAGCATCTCTGGTTTCTCCTCTCTATAACTTGTCTAGACTTACAGAAATCAAACTAATTTATTTTTTTTAATGAAACAGTGGCTCTGCCTGCAATAAAGCAAATAACTAGCTTCCTCACCATAGCACTTACTGTGAACTTACTTTTAAAACTATGGATTGCTTGCTCACACTGTCCTTTAATGTAAGAGTCACTAGCAGCATCTCACAGCTTTGAAATATGTGAGATGTGGATATAAGAGTTGAACACCAATGTTACTGATGTCTTCTAGAGTGACTGTGTAAAACCAGTAGGGCATCCTGAGGCCACTCCTTGTTGAACCTGTCAGCTCTCAGTGCTGTCTTGTTGCTTCTTGATCCTAAGCCCGAGACTGTCTTCGATTTTACCTGTCCTGCAGTGTTTTCCTTTCTAGCTATGTGACCGGTTCACTGCAGCGATACCATGAGGGTCATGGCTTCCAACTCCGAGAAACTGTTATGCTTTAGAGTTTATTTACTACAGATTTGATGACCCACAAAGATTTAGGAAATAATGCTTTTCCTAGTACTGCATATAGCAGCACCTACATTCTTCTTTCCTGTAAGTAACAACGGCAGCTGGACTTGTCTGAGACAGCTTGTGGGTCCCAAAAAAGCCTTGTGTGAGAGCTGGGGACAGGTAGCATGCATGCAAGGTCTGGGCGTTAGCAATCTATAGGCTGTGGCTGCTGTTACCAAGGAACTGGTCCAGTTTCATTGCTGCCATCTATTGAAACTAGAGCTTTCCACATCATTGAGCAGACTAGTGGGAAGCATAGTTTTGCAGATGAGATATGAAATGCCACAATATCACTACAAATTATAACAAAAAATGCCCCCCCTCCCTTAAATGAGGACTTCCAAAATGTATGTATATTTGTTTTATTACTTAATATTCAGCTTCCTATGCAGCTTCAGTGGCCCTAACTAATACTCCTTCTGTAGCTGTTAAATCTTTCCCTGCTGACTTTTGTCTCTGATACAGCTCTGCCTAGTATCTCCTGTTTTCTGAGCAGTAACTCATTAATGTGTTTAGCTTTTCTGTGTTGTCTTTAATACAAAAAAATACGCTCTTTGTGGTAATGAAAACTTCTGTATGTACTTCAGAAAATCCTTATTATCTAATATTTTTTGGGGAAGACGGTCTTATTTTAAATACTCTTTAGTTGCTTGGTGACTTTGCTTGAGAAGATCTTGCTTGCTGAACTTGATTTGAAAAATGCTTATTACGAAAAAGACCCAAACTATTTTCTAGCACTGATTAAATGCTTTTAAAATCGCATGGTTCACTAGGCACTTTTGGTCAGAAGGCAAAATATATTCCTCTGATGTAGCAAGTACTCACAGAATAAAAACCCCACAGTCTACTTTGATGTGCTATGCCTAGGACTGTCTGGGCAGCAATGAAATATGAGACTTTGTATGGTGGTCTTAATGACCAACTATTTTCTTTTTTTTTTTTTTTTCTCTAAGGTTTGTATAATTTTGCACTTGTTTAAAAAAATGTCTTTTCCCCTTCCCCTCTTAAAGGTAGAGACCTGTGGGTTCTTGTTCTGGGAAGGTTTCCAACCCATCATAAGATTGGCATTCCAGAGTTCAAGTATGTTGCTAATATGCATGGGGATGAGGTACGTTTCAACTTTTGCAATGTCATTTATACCAAATACACTTACCAGAGGTTTAGAGTGAACTTCTCAGGTGTGTGCTACTTATTCTTGAGGTATGTCATACCTCAGAGGACCTAGTATGTGTGTATTTCTTGAGGAATTTCAAGAATAAAGTTCCCTTGTTTTAGCGGAAGGGCTTTAAGAAACCTTACATCACTGAAGAATCCTACACCTAACACTTCTCTTAAGTAGAGAGCTTTGTCTTCTCCACATGAATAAACCCAGAGGCTTTAACTTTCCTGGCAATGAGTCAGATGTAATAGTTTGCTTGTACATTATTATTGCCTAGGCATGAAGTATGACTGATAGAGCTCTTCAAATAAATCCTAAGATTGAATAATAATTGCTGTGAAGCACCAAATGATTTATTTTGGGAAGATTTCTTTTGAGAACCTTAAGCTAGGGATACTGAGATTCATTTGAGATAACACAGTGAGTACGAAACAAAAAGCAATTTCAGGATTAACTTGCTCTGGAAAGAATGCCCACTTCTTAATGATAAAGGAAAAAAATGGTGATTATGAGCCTTCCTGGTGTAGTACATGAATCTGGAAAAAAAAGACTCAAAGCTTCACTCTTTTCTGTAGTCTTTTTTTGCTTTCTATCTCCCTTATTCTTTAGCTTTACCTGCTTATATTAGTCATGTTCAGGTTTAAACTACACAATATATATCTATGCAGTCTTTAATGTGAAGGGTAAATAATTCAACAGAAATGGCAAAATTTATGTATGTATGCTAGACTGAATTCCCAAAATGAAGAAAAAAAATAGATGTAGTAGGAAGTGTATCCAGTGTAAAAAGTAACATATCACAAGCTATTGCTATTACCGATACTGTGTGCGAGCACTTGCACGCCTACAGGCCCTTGTGACATTACATGCCAAGAATTTCCCCCAAGTTAGACTAGTTTCACCTTGTTTGACAGTGTCTATGCTCTAAGTGCTGCTGGGAGTCTGGCTGCTTTGGAATTTTAACTCTGTGTGGGAGGAAGCTGATTCATGGTTTCAAATGGGCACACATTACTGGATGCCCAAGAAAGGGTTTGCGACTCCTAAAACCTGGTGTGTGTTAGTCCAGGGTGCCTAGGAACTGAGGATCCATATGACAGTCCCTGCAGACTGCTGAAGGGAATTGCAAACCTATGGCTACAGGTGACCCAGGTTTGGTGGGAAAGGGATGGAGGGCAGGCTATGAATGGACTCACCCAGAATGGCCCGGCTCTCAAATCCAGTATTGCTGGACTACAGAAGGCCATTCCTCCTATTGAAACCTCCACAGTGAAGCACTCCTGCCATTACTGCTGCCCAGCTGGATATGCACAAGGAGTTTTGACCACAGAGACATGCACTACTTTGCATATCCACAGGGTCAGGAATTTCTGGAGATCAGGCAACCAGGCTCACTGCCTAAGATCTAGATCTTTATGTTGACTTTGTGAGGAAATGAGACAGGGCTTTTTTTTGCAGTATCTGGCACTATGTCTGAGTCTGAGCAGGGATGATCCTTGAGCTGCCTATAGCACCAAGTGCCATGCTACATTCTAACTTTTTCATTAGACCAAGAATGCAGCTGGGGGAGGTACTGGAAATAGAGCCATTCTTCCTTTTCAGGCCTTCATGATCATATTTTTTTTTTTTTTGTGTATGGATATAACGCACAGTTGGTGTTTGTTTTTCCTATCTGACCATAAGTGTATTTCAGATGACAGGAAATGAATTCTCATATAGAGAAGTGTTGAAGAACTTGAATATTTTTCCCCAGAATCAAAGATTCTGCTGGACTAGTCACTGGGGAAGGATTCAACTATCCCTATAATATATTAAGCAGATAAGTTTTGCACTGACTGTATGACACACTTCAACTTGTTTTTCATAATGTAAAACTGCAGGATTATGGCTTCATTGATTTAGTTAGGTCTCTTGTGGTTCAGTGATGCTTTTCAAAAATGGTACAAAGTGAGAAAAGTTTTGTTCTCAAGTGTTGTTTGGTGATGCTGCCCTTCTAACCTGTCATGATCACACAAATGACACTTTTTTTGACTCAGCTGGCTGGCTGCCCTTGAAACCTAAAAGCTGGGGAGAAGCCTGAATTGCACATGCACAGGCTGTTTGCATGTGCTGCTGGAAGAAAACCTAGGTTCTTTGGAGAGCTGCCCAACAGGGAAGTTCTGATAAAATAACGTGAGTACACAATATTAGGAAGAGTCTTTTTTTTTTTCAGAACTAGAAAGAATTATTTTTTAAAGTAGGTTAATTTTTCTTGGCTGGTCATGTCGTATGTAAATCTTAGTACTGTGATTTTATTTTGTGATCACCATAGCCAAATAGTGAACTTTTGCCCCAGAGATGGAACAAAAGACTCCTCCCATTCTTTGTGTGCCTGTATGAAGTTGAATGCTGTTTTAAGGAGTACTTTTTGTTTAACCCAACCCAGATTAAGACTGGTAATTAGAGGTCATTTAGTCACGTGCAGCTACATGAGACTTTAGTCAAAATGGCACTAATAGACTGCACAAAATGCATAAACCTGTGAAACTTCAATAAAATCTGCACTGAGGAAGATGAAGAGGAGGTTGCTGGCTGTTCAGGGGTCACTGTCATTCTGAAATTGGCAGCAGCCTCTCTTGTCCCAGGCTTGTACTCTTACTTGAAAGATCTTATCTTCCTCGGTATGGGTATGTACGTTCCTCTCTGGGGAAGAACTCATTCCACTTAACATTCACTACAGCCAAACCCCAAACACTCCTAAGTCATAAATGGAGCAGAGTGATCACCTTTTGACCAGCTGTCCCAGTGTCTTGAGTCCAATCTGCACAACTGAACCATAGGATCTAATCTGAATGCTGTGCCTAAACCATGTATATTGCAGCAGGAAAACCCTTTAAGGAAAAGCATGTCTGAAAAAAGTGTAAACTATCTGTGCATTTCTGCTTGTTCCCTTTGATGTATTAAGTATATGGATTCTTTAGCTTTCTGCAGCTGTAGTGTAACTGGGCTATCATGAAGTAAACTCTTTCCCATAATGATAATGCTGATACCAACCCTTTTTTCCTAAATCATCCACTGCTGATCACTTTCTTAGTGTAACGGTGTTTTGCCTCTTCCATTATGTGAAGCTGAGCCCATACTGGTAAGCCTGAGCTAGCCTACATGAAAGGATGTATTTATCTTGCTGGCTTATCTTGTGATTTAAGTTAAAGCAGCTAGACCATATTTTCCATGTCATCATAGACAGTCCTATCCATAAAAGAATTTCTTGAGATTTGGTGACTTACTAGGGCTTGGGTGACTGAGGACTAGGGTAGATTTATTTGTGATCAATATAATTTGGGCTCAAAAGAACCAAAAAACTAATGAGTCTTCTGTAGAATTTGTCACTCTCACTCCCAGAAAATGAATGGAAGCTCTACCTACACTATTAAAATGCCATTATAAAAAAAGAGGGGCTTTTTTAATCACCAGGTTGGGCAAAAAGTTGTGTCCATGTACTATACAATGTGCTGTAAGGAATTTTAAGCACATATTCCTGTGTCATTCTTAACTGTGCAGTATAGTATGGAAGTGGCGTGGCAAGAAAACAAATATGTGCTCTAGAAAAGAATTTAAAAATAGTATGTCTTCTAAGGTGAATTATTTTCCACCTGGTTTCAGTATTAGCTGGTATGATGTAAAGAATATCAGAAGCACCAGAGATTTCAAAATTCAAAGCAACCAAATCTATTTGCTAACAACAGACTTTTTTAAAAGTTGGATGCTGCTGGGATCTCTTTCAACACAGGTAGGGTTGCTGCCTTGCCCCAGTTACCTTTTTCCTTATCATTACTCCCACTCTTCAGAGTGGGAAAAGCAGCGATCCATTTCTCAGGCAGGTGAAGCCTGTGCTGAGACACCTGAAGCCTGGGGGATTTGTCCAGGTGGTAACATCTTCTGCCAGTTCCTAGTTCAAAAGCAGGATTTATGTTGCCATTTCCTTCAGTAATAAACCAAGGAACTGCAATTCCCTGTCGTACATGTGGTGGTTCTCATATTCCTTCAGTGATTGCTGCTATAGAAATAAATGGGTATGTACCAAACTGCATGTGCACGAACAGTTGCTTTAACACTGGTGTATTTTAGTCAAGGAGGACAAACACACTGGGGTGTGTCGCAGCCATGCATAATAATTAGTGCTGTAAAAGTGTTAAAAAATAATGGTTTGTAAGTGTGGCATTTCAGTGGTAAACCAGGATGGACTATGGGTTTCTCTGCTTCCTTAGGCGGGGCTGTGCCTGGTATGCTGCGTAGTCTGTAGAGCAGTTGGGGCTGGAGCAAGGAGACTGGCAAGACCATGTTGCTCTGAAACAGGTCCTACCTGACGGTTTGGATCTTTCTTTCAACATAGTTCAACTTAAAAAACAAGCCACCTTTAAGGAAAGAATTTTAATCATAAAAATGGGTAGAGTCTATCCACCCATAGTCCCCTGATATTAGATCTCTATCATGTGGTTAGAAAAATGTTTTAAAAACAGGGGTGCTGCAGTAAAGTGTTATGGTGCAGGTGCAGTTGGAGCTAACCTTAATCTTTTAACTGGCTGCTGCTGGGGCTTCTTGAGTAAGCCCTTCAGCAGCTGAGCAGGGTGCTGACCCAGCCATGCCAGAAGCAATAGTCAGCAAACTTAAGGGGTATGTCTACAGAACCAGCAGTCACACCCCTTTCTATGGTGCTGATCCGTGCCCTGACACATGCATGCTGTTTCACTTGGGGCTTCCCCCGAGGATCACAGAAAGCCTTTCCTGCAGACTCCCTTTGGGGCACACAAGGAAACAGACAGCTGAAAGTGTACGGGGAAACTTAATGTCTAACTGTATCCCTAGACATGGGAGAAAGGGGTTTCCTTTGCCTTTTTTTTTTTTTTTACCCCTCATCTGAGCTACAGCAAAACAATGCACCTGGGCATCAGCCCTGGGATATTGCAATCAAAACTAAATATTTGTCATGTCTTCTCAAAGCCCCAGAACACATAAAGGCTGTCCCCTGCCCTCTATACCTTCACGTTGGACTAGAGGCAGGTTAAGGTGTCTGTCCTTGACTTTGCTGCCAGCAACCTACTTCCACTGTGTCTAGATCCTTTATTTGAAGCTCTAAAGTAAAAATAAATGTGTTGTAACTTTTCTCCAAAGGTACAGCTGACCTCTAGTAACAGGGCAAAACTTGGCTAGGCAGCAGATGCCTTCCAAGGGCTTGATCAAAACTTGAGCTATGCTTTCCCAGAAACAAAAACTTTCCCTTTCCCTCACCTCAAACACCTCCAGATGTGCTTTTTCAAGAAATGTAGGGTACTCTGGACCAAGACAAAAAAGACAAAATCACCTTTCTCACCCCACCAAAACAGAGTGGTAATAAATGCACTCTTCTTCCACTGGGAAATGATCAAAGTACCAATTTTGTGATAGAAATTAGCTGAATTGTTTAATGTACTAAGTACTCAGGTACAACACTATCTATACAAGGTATCCTATAAAATAGGGTTAGTTTTTATGAAATACTGTATATGTAAGTAACTCTGACTTTTAAGCGCAAAGAATGTAATCTCTGAAAAACTGGTCATCTTCCATTCTTTATAAATACTGTCCTTTTCCACCACCTTCTCTTGTTGATTTTCTTTATCTTTTTCCCCTTCCTGTTCCTGCTTTTCTAGCCTTTCTTTTCTGGCTGTCTTTTTGTCAGGCTCTCAAGAAAAGTATGGTAGGAGCGGAGGCACTTTCCCAGCTTTTCCAGAGAGCAGTCCAGTCTTGTCTGTAGTTCAGCTCTCTCTGTGGTAGGGCTGTTCTTGCTGCTTGTGAGGCTGTTAGCCTTATCTCTCATGCCCAGGGCCATGATTTGGCTGACTTCTCTCTCCTCCTTTTTCTCCTGCTCCCCTTGCTTCCCAAGAGGTCTATCACCCAGAGCTGGAGCTGAGTTGCCTGTGCAAGACAGGTTCTGTTGCATCCCTTCTTAAATTTCACAGAGTAAATGTATCAAACCCACAGACCAGTCTTTTTTTCATGTTCTCAGGTGCTGTTTTAGAAGCTATTGGTAATGAAGGAAATTGGGTAGCCCTTTCCCCCCGTCATCAAAGCCCACTTGCTATAGTGTCTTGAAAAAGAGCCACTTACTGGCACAGTATGTGCATTTGTGTAATGCAGCTTCCCCTAGCAGATGACTGATGGTGGTCTGCAGGAGACCAGCATGAGCTGACAGGCAAGGGATAGAAAATTTAGGAACAAATTTGCTGGGGGACAGGGTGGGAAGAGATCCTCCCTTCTCCCTGTACCGACAGCATGGCAAAACTGCTTTAGTATCAGCTTAGAGACCATGGCTGCCTTCAAGAATGACACTTAAAACGGTATGATCCGCAACTTAGCGGAGTCCTGTTTAGTGCTACATTGATTGTTTGCTTCTCCTGCAATTGCCAGCTAACCAGCAAGACATGGTTTGCTTCTAACCTGAACAGCAGTTACACTCAGCCCTCCTTGTCCCATCGTGTACCAACCCAGATCCTGCTGGATGGTGTTTGTGTTTGTTTACCTTAACACCCAGAGCAAGATTTGCCACTTAAAATGCACCAGTGTGAAAATTCAACAAGATCTTAGTGCAGCAACAAGATCTCAGCAAATAGCTGTGAAGAAATACTCCTTTTCCCCTGCCTGATTTCACCTACCTTTCACCTCAGCCTGTACCACTCTGAAAGCAAGGAGATGTTTATCTGCAACACCAGGTTCATCCAGTAATGCCACTCCACGTTCCTCACTTAAAAAAAAAAAAAATTAATTCTCTGCAATATTTCCACTTTGGTGATGTAAGACTCATTCTAAAAGATACTGAGATGCTGTAGGTCTGAATTAGAGCCTGTGGTGATTTACCAGGCTTTGTTCTTGGAGATGAAGTAGAGATAAATTATCTCCAGAGCACATCTACTTGCAAGTCTTGCTTTGTTCCTATCTCAGCCAGGGCTTAGGAGCCATACAGCACCCCTGAGGTGTGGGTGACAGTGCTATAGACGGTGCTCCTGGAAAGTATGGTCTGGTGAACACTGTACTAGTGGTTTCTGCGGTAGAAGGGGATTGGAGCTGGAACTTACCACTGTTTTGCCTGAAATCTGACAAAGTAGACTGAGGGGAGATGTCCTGCCAGCTTTCACGACCTTCATGAACAAAAATACGTATTTAACTTTTTCTCTACCACTCCCTTGCCTTGATCTAAAGCCTGCATCGAAATGTCCTTCCATCTCTTTTTGTAGGGATTTATATATATACCTGTTTGGTTTCCCCAGTGCCTGTGTTCACGGCATTAAAATAAAGCAGTGTGACAGATTATAACAGAGGTGTCTACAGGGCCTTTCTTGATCCTGTATTAAAGTTGACTTCCCATAGAAGGGGAACAACAAGATCAAATCCTGCTCTGTAGCACCCTGGAAAACGTGGAAGGTGTCTCCTTCCTTTTTTTCTGAGCCATGGCTGCCACGCGGTGATGCAGAGCACCGAGGCTGACATGCAGGGCCCAGGGGCCCTGAGGCATCAGCACAGAGCTGGCTCTGCAGCACAACTGAGATAACGCAGCGGTGCCTTTCCAAGCCCACGTGATCTGTACCAGGCAGCCTCCGCAGTTTTAGTTTTTGATAAGGTTATGCCTTAGCCATGCAGGATTTAAGCAATGCAGCTGACACAGTCAGTTTCCCATTACAGAGAAAGCTCTGGTTGATCTGGGTTTAAAACCCTTGTGAAAACCTTCCAGTGACTCATCTATTAGATGACTTTAAATATATTTAAGGGAGAGCATAAAACAAAACAGCGTTAACCAGAACGCTTTTGTATGTCTGTGTAATCCAGTAAGAAAAACCTGAAAGTGCAAAGTGCTGGGTCTTTGATTTATTTATTTATTTTTCTTCCTTCCATAGCAGACTTAAAATAAAATCTGTGCTTCTTTATACAGACTGTCGGGCGAGAAGTCCTGCTCCATTTGATAGACTTCCTGGTGACCAGCTACAGACGTGACCCAGTTATTACCCGCTTACTCAATAACACCCGGATTCATATCATGCCAACAATGAATCCCGATGGATTTGAAGCTACAAAAGTGCCTGATTGTTATTACACACGAGGAAGGTAAGGGTGGCTTAGGAGGGTGGGAGTAGGTAAAGGAAATGGGTGGGGAGTAATAATCGGAGATAGCCAAGAGACTGAATCATACTTGATGGTGAGGATAGCCTAGAGGATGTGTTAGGGCTAATTTTGGCCCGTGCTGCTCTAAAGACACACTGTTACAGCACAGAGTTTTTGGAAGTCTGAGTCAGACTGGTGTTTATATGTGGTGCGGCTAGAGAAAATTGGTCAGAAGGGTGTAATGACCTAACCTTTTAGGCAGGAGACCCAGATTGCAAATAGAAGCACAATTACCTATTTAGACCTTTAGGGTGCTACAAAAAAAAGAAGGAAAACTCTGCCCATAGGGATCTATTTCAGTTGGAGAACTCCGTAACCCTTCTTCATGAGAAAAAGGTGTGTCTAAGCTTGTTGAATGGACTTCTAGAAGTGTGTTTAAAGATCATGTTGAACGATGATCTAGTAAGAGGGAGGAGTTACGCAAGCAGGGCTGGCTGTACCAGGTGCTGTACGAATAGTAGTGCTAGGAAGAAAACTTATGCAGAAGGAGATCTAACCTAAGGTTACATCCTGTGCTGTAACTATTGCACAGACCAGAAAGGGGAGGAAGACTTTAACAAGCTAGAAGAGGGAAGAGGAGGAGGGAGTGAGAGAATGGGAAGAAATGCCAAAGGGACAAAGTTGGGAGGTGTAGTAAAAGCAAACTCATGAGCTGGAAGTTCTCCTGGATCACTGGCCACGGCAACATTGGACACAAGCAAAAAGGTAGTTTGGTCCACTAGGTGACTGGTGTAGGCACTCCTTTTTATTAGGAAAGAAATTCATTCCCCAGCAGGACTTCCATGGAGGGTGGTATTATTTTATCCCCTCTCTGTTAAATACACAGAGTTTAACTAACTGAGTTTAAAAATTAATACAGCTGACTCTAAATGCCCCTTCGACTGCTGTACCGACCTGTCTGAGTGAAAAAGGAAGAAAGCATTTGCACGGGCTGGACCTGCAGGTACAGGGAGAAGATAACACATCTTGTGTTTGAGTCAGATTTTTTTGCTCTACATCCAGAGTGACAGCGGTGCAAGGGACCTGGGCACCCAGTAGTTACCTTGGTCTTCTACACAAGTGGGAAGAACACATTCAGAAGGACAACATCTCCCTTATCTGGCTTAGGCTTTTCTAGTTCACATGTGTGTGGGTGCGCGCATGCTATAGGCACGTTAAATATTATTCACTGATTCCTCCTGAAATACAATAGAGTTGTTTTATTATGTCCTATGAAAATTCCAGTGCTGCCAGAAAGCAAACTAAAGTCCATCACCTTAATGCTTGACGGTATTTGCAATGGTCACCTTGCCTGTTTCCTGAAGACAATAGCATGCAGCAGATCCAAAGTACTGGGAGGCTGGCGACGTGGAAGTGACCGTAGGCAAAACAGTAATGGGAATGTCTTCTCTCTTTCTAAGGTTCAATAAGAATGGAGAAGATCTGAACAGGAATTTTCCTGATGCCTTTGAAAATAACAATGCCAGCATTCAGCCAGAGACTCAAGCGATAATGAACTGGATAAAAAACGAAACGTTTGTTCTTTCAGCAAACTTGCATGGGGGTGCGCTGGTTGCCAGTTACACCTTTGATAATGGTAACTCAGGTAAGCTCGTAACAAACTCTCCTCTCCACAGCTGATTTGATTTAGGAACGTTAGCTGTACCAAAGCAAAATTTAGAAGAATTTCTGCAAGGATTTTGCAGCTTCTGAGCTGGGATGGGCAGACTTTGGTATGCCCTATCAGAATTCACTGCCTGCTGCGGCTGTCTGGGAGGTGTTTATCCTGTCGGTAAGCCAGCACTGTCCATTTTACCAATAATGAGAGTTACCTGATGGCTGTCTTTATTCTGCAGTTACTGGCTCTCTGAAAGGCTACAGCAAGTCTCCAGATGATGATGTCTTTATTCATCTGGCAAAAACTTACTCTTTCAACCATGCCAGCATGTACAAAGGGACTGGGTGTGACAGCAGACAAACCTTTCCGGAAGGCATTACCAATGGGTATTCTTGGTACCAGTTAGAAGGTAAGAATGTCACTTTTTTTTTTTCGGCTGCTTCAGATGATATGTTTTCACTTTCTCCTGCCATCTTTGATGATGAGAGGGCTGTGATTTTGCTCAGAGTAGAGGGTCGCTGAGGGGAGTAAAGCCTTTACGCGGATTCTCTGAACAGGACCTGGGTGTTACACACACATGCACGCACTGGCGTGGCACCAAAGTCTTGTCCTTTCTGAAAGAAAACTGGTCTTTTGTTCATATATCACCCTTTTTCTTAATGCTTGCTCACAGAAATAAATTTTTTCATTACTGCTTGTGTAGCCAAATAGAATAAGGGTCCTGTGTACTGTGGCACCACGTGTTGCTTTCACAGTCTGAATCCAGAACCTTTTAAGGCTCTCAGGATGGCTTTGGGCCTGGCAAACTCCTATGCCAGCTTGTGAATTTATCTGCCCCTATTTAGTTGGGAGTGCTTAAATGAATTTAAGTCAAAGACCCACCATTCCTCAGCCATAATAGTCATCATTCCTGAAATGGCACTGTGCTTTAGGAAACAACGCTCTACATGTAACTTAGAGCAACGATGTTGGTTTTCCACAGGAGGCAGTAAATACAGGTGTGGCATTGAGAAATAATTTATCCAATTTACTTTTCTTAGAGGTGTGATGCAAGTACCAAGGATTTTAACTCTCCTGTTTTTCTTCTAGCTTGAACTTGATGCTTCTTGCAGCTGAACAGTTTGTTTTATTTCACTTTTAAGGTGGAATGCAAGATTACAACTATGTCTGGGGACAATGTTTTGAAATTACATTGGAGCTGTCATGCTGTAAATACCCTCCAGCAGACCAGCTGGAAAAGTTCTGGAGAGACAACAAGGCTGCTCTGATCGAATACATAAAACAAGTGCACCTGGGTGGGTATCCGAGTGGGGAAAGGAGCTAAAGCTGAGGCCAGGTGGGTGGGCAAAGTCAGAACTTTTCGGGAGCCTGGGTCAGTGCCAAAGCTCACAGGTGAGGAGCTCTGGAGTGAAGGTGGGAGCTGTCGCTTCTGAATAGCAAGTGCTACAAGGGCAGGGATGAGTAAGGGAGGAGAAACGTGTCCCCCCCTCAGGGAGTCTGCTTTCCCGAGCAGCCCCGGGGTGGTCGCTTGTATCAGAGGTCTCTAAACGCGTGCACGCAATGCTTCATGGCTCTTTCCTGCTTGGATTTTTGTAAGGCTTTTCCCAGTGTCATCTTGACTTCACAGCTGGAAGAGAGCTGCTGCTGAGTGAAGCAGTGGTACTTTACAATGAGTTAAAGGGTTTGCACGAATCTGTTGCTTATCTTGTGTTTTGTTGGCCAGAATGTCTGACTGCTGTTTTATCTTTGCTTAATGTCAGTGCTGCCTTGAAGGTGGTGTGTGAGAATTTAGGGCAACTACGTGATAAGCAGACATTGTTGGCATTCTGCCATTGGGAAGTACTAGGTAAGAGGCTGACTTATTTACAAAAAAAAAAAAAAAAAAAAAAAAGGCAAAAACCCTCCCAAAGCAGTACTGAAGATTGAAGCCCTTCAGTAAAAGACACGTACAATAAGTATATATGATGTTTTCATCAAATGAGATTTAGAAGCAGAGATTGCAGGTGCTGCTTTCTAACTTAATGCGAGGGTAAACTATTAACAACATCAAAGGATTTTATATTTTAATTCCCTTCAGTAAGATCGAAGTGACTAGTGATGGTATTAGATTTACTTGAAATCAGTGAAATAGCCTTTGAGTGCATCCAGCAACAAGTAGTCTGACTTCCCCAGCGGAAGCTCCCCACAGTTACAGGTGCTGATCCTCCTCTCCCCTCCCCTCTTCATAGGTGTCAAGGGTCAGGTTACTGATAAGAAGGGGAATCCGATTCCCAACGCCATTGTGGAAGCCAAAGGACGGCCCCACATCTGCCCCTACAGGACAAATGAACACGGGGAGTACTTTCTTCTCCTCTTGCCTGGGACGTATGTGATCAATGTAAGTGCGCGGCCGTACCGAGCTACTGTTTCAAATTGCATTGAGTTCCTGAGCGCAGTGCGACTGCATCCTTATAGACCAATGAGGTGAACTTGCTCGAGTCATCTGCGGGAGCTGTAAAGGCTCTTTAGCGTATTTAAAAGAAAATATCTTAAAAGACGAGTCAGCAGAAAGGAAACTTTTTCATAGAGTAAGACCTTGAGTCCCCAGGACATCTAGAGATAAGCCATTCATCTGACCTGGGTGGTGGAGCCAGCTGGGGTGAGTGTCTGGACCACGGTGACAGTAGCTTGAGGGGTTTGAAACCAAGCGCAGCGCCCTGGAAGGGTGAGGAGGCGTCGGCTGGGATACCCGTCGCCCGGGGAAGCGACGGGCTGACAGCCCATGGGGGACAGTTAGCTCCTCGGGTGGGAACGGCCTCTCGGCAGAGGTTGTCAGGAGCTGGGGTCAGAGCAGCTGTGCAGCCCAGGCTCTGCCCCCTGCCAGCCAAGGGCTTCTGCTTCAGCCCAACGGTAGGATTCCATCTCCTGTAGAGCCTGTGGTGCCCCCTCATTATAAATAAATATTCTATTACTGTTTCTGTTGCATTTGGGGGGGGGGGGGGGGAGGGTTAGTCTTATTGCTAGAACATGAAAACTACTCTTTTCTCATTTTCTCAAACAAGTTTAGAACGCCGTTTCCTATACACTGAAAGGGTAAATAAGCACATCAGCTGCGAAACAATCCTTGTCTAAACTCAACATCTCAAACCCAGTCAGAAAACTTTCCTGTTTGCTCCTAGGCTACTGTACCGGGATTTAAATCGGTGCTGAAGACAGTGGAAATACCTGACAATACTGGTAACTTCAGTGCTTTGAAACACGACTTTTCTTTCTCAGAGGTCTCGATCAGATCAAAAGCTGCTTCATGTCCCAAAACTCCCCTTTACCAAGACCTTGAACAGGCTTCAGCTGCAGTAAAGCCAACTCTACATATCTTGGCTTTAATGACTGTTATGCTTGTAATTTTCAAATAAAGTCAGGAATGACATGATGTGGCAAGGCAAAACCTTCTTCCACAAATGTGGCTGTTCAGACAAGGAGTTGTATATGCAAAAGAATGTATGTGTTTATCAACCAAATTCTCAGATTTACAATGACGTTTATTGTATTTTGTAAAATACTGGCTTGACAATCAAATGTTTTACTTTAATTATAAAAGACTATCATATTTTTCTAAGCAAGTATTTTAGTCTAAAGAAATTATGTGGAAACAACTGTAGAATTTCGATGCAGAAAGTCCAAATAGATTCTGAAGAATTTGTCGAAGTTCCAAAAAAAAGTCTAGGATTGTATTGCAGATGTTTCGTGTTGAACCAACAGCTCACGTGCCACACAACTGCAATTAGCTCAAACCTAATTTCTCATAATAAAACCACTGCTGTAAATGAGGAACGGCATTTTTACATGTTTGTTCTTACCTGGACAGTCGAGGCTGCTTCGGGCTGAAATAAAGAGGAGTAAGAGAGACCCGTTGTCAGGCAAGAAGATGGCAATGAAGCGTCAGTATGTGCTGAAGGGCCCCGGCGCTGGAAGCCGGATGGTCATCTGTGCCTCCAGGCACGAGAGAAACTCCGATCCCTGGTGTTCCCCCAGACAGAGCTGTTGAAAACAGTGTGGAAAGGGTCACTGACAGCTTTACGCTGCTGTTACTGTCCATTTTCTGCTGCATTCGGTACGGAGCAGAGCCTCGGCCCCCTCAGACTTTTCTATCCCCTGACGAGCTTCAGCAGTGGCTTTCGGGTGTTTGTGCCACAGCCCCGGGCCTCGCTGTCTGCGCCCGTGCCGGGAGCTGGCGGGTGCGCTCGGCGAGGCCCAAACCCGATCCTGGTGCCGAGGCCCTGGCGAGGCTGCAGGGCAGGCAGGATGAGCAGATTCCTTTTGCTTGGCCCACTGCAAGTCATCTTCAGGGCCCTTTGAAGCCGCCCGATAAACACAACATTTGTCAAGAAGAGCCGGTTAGTACTAGCTAGCTCTCTCCTGTGTTTATTTTAAAGCTCTAGCTGCCAGTAACTTTCTTAAGCAATTTCAAAAGTAACCAGAAGGGATTATCTTGGGAAACAGCAATCCCTTCCTGTAAATAAAAAAAAGTGCAGGAACGCAGTTAAGCTTTTGATGTCTTTAAACATACCACCTTTACTGGAAGGGTTCTCGTGCCCGTCCCACCGAGCCCCGCCGGCTGGGCTGGGGAGCCCGGGCGTTAGCTGTTAGGCTCTGTGCAGCAGATGAAGTTGTAAAATACACTTTAAAAACTGAAACAGCGATGCTGATTTGGAAGGAGGGCTGTGTGGGCAAGATACTGTTTTTTCAATGTTTGCATCACATCAGTTTGTATTTTCTACCTTTTCTCCCCCTCTTAACTGCTGCGGGTTGTTTACCAGTCAGAGGAGTAAATCATTATTTGCTGCTCCCACCACTGATCCTCGGTTCTGAATCTGTCACAGCAGGAAAATCCAGAGCCCCCTCGAGTTGAAAATCCCCCAAAGGCATGAAATCTGTGAGAAGCCAGCAGCCCAGCAGTTGAGTGAGGGCAGCAAGAGGCCCGGCACCGGCTCATGGGATTAAGATGGTGTAGGAAAAAAAAACAAGTAGCAGAATTGCTAACAATCAAGTAATTGATGTGAAAAAAAGAGCACCAGAGAGTATAAAAACAAATCTTTATTTAAAGCTTTTAAATGCAACATAGGATTTAGTTTCCTCAGAAAAGGAAAAACTGAAAACCAAAAGACAAATGCAGTATGTGTGAAAATTATTTTAAGTAGAATCTCTGTGCAATTTGAGCAGACATGTGGTAGCAGGTGTGCTAGGTACCTAGGCGGTATACCCCATGACAAGTTCTTCATCTAGGAGCAGTGGCAAAATTGCATAGTTAAAGTTCACCATAAACCAGTCCGTGCAGTAGTCATTCCAGCTACGTGTAGCCATACAACAAGGTAAGACTCTGCTTTTAGAAAAGCTCTCTGGTGTTTTAGGTATTACGTAATGGTCATGTTGGAGGCCATTAATTTAGCTCAAGAACAAGAACTGAACTTCAAAACCACGCTCTTAAGGGACCACAACACCTTTTCAGTATCACCAACAAATTTTACACATAGAATATATACATATACACACATACACTACTGAGGCATTCACTTGAAGCTTTCAGTGCAGCTGTGCTAAATTACAAAAAAAAAAAAAGCACACATTAGTTAAAAGCAACATTTTTTCATGTTTAATAAGTGCACTCCGTTGTTAAAAGATACCGTAAGCGGGGGTTTTGGGTGGGGGGGTGTGTCCGTGTACATTTTTTGCTTTACATTGCTTGTGTAACCCTTTAAATGACAAACATCTCCGGAGGAGACTCGGACCGGGGTGGGGATGAGCAGGGCAGGGCCAGGCAGGGGGGTGGGTAATGCCCCCCGAGCAGCGGGCGCAGGGGGGCCGGGCGCCGCCACAGTGCCCGGCCCTGCCCAGGCCCAGGGCTGCACACAAAACGTCGGCCCCCCCGGGGTAACTGCTGCCCCCGCCGTGCCGTGTGGGGGGCAAGTTCGTGGGCTGAATAAATCAACTGCTTTACAACCATCAATGCTACTTCTCAAGTTACACCCTGACACAAGAGCAGCTTTAGATGAAGAATTATTAATAATATAATTCTATTAATCCTGTTTATTCATTTTGGTCTATTTAGATTCATTATGCTTTTAATAATTTAATCTCGCTTTTGTGAGAACACCATTTTCTGAGACAATTACTCTTGTTGATGTGGAATTGTTTTTCCCCATACCAGGCTTTAAGGGGAAAAGATCAGCCTCAAGTCTTGCATGTGACTTTATACCCACACAGACATTTCAGAGACAGTGACATTTCAACAAATTTACGGCAAACAGAACTCAACGATAAAACCTGGGCCGCGCTGCCAGAATAAGTGTATTCCTTTTCATCACCTAAAATTTTGTAGCGCTTTTACCCTTTCTAAATCAACCCCCTAACTGAAGCGGCAGCCACGGCCCAGCACCCGCCTCCTCCCGTGAGCTCGTTAGTACCACTAAAACAACATTCACGGGGTGCTGCTCCACAAAAAGCCTCGCTTTTGTTCGATATAATCAGTGAGGCAGCTACTTCTGTTTCAGCTGTGCAAGTTTTTTAAAGGACAAAAGCAGCAGACTTCATAACTAATACATCTTAAATGAAGACTCAGCATTAAAGCTTCTCAAATATTTTAAGGCTTGTAGACTTTTTGAGAGATGTCAGACACCAAAATGAAGCAATTTTGCCATCTGCCTCAAGGGCTTCACTTTGCACTTTCACTTCCTAGGGTAAAGAGTTGAATTTCAATACTAATAAGCAGCTACATAGTGAAAAAGCCTCACTTAATCAAAAAGTGGGTTTATTGTACTTTTTCATAAAGAATAAACGCGACTTCTCGTAGCATTTGTACGTAACTACTGTCTACCTGAAGTGCACAAAGGAACAGACTGAGGCCATTATTGAAAACGAAGCCGTCCCTCAGCTGCTTGCCTGTTGCACTGGGAGATGCAGAAGCATTCCAAAGGAGAACAACCACCATCACAATATTTTCACTCTGCTAATGTTACCCCAGCCTCTACCTCCGGTTAATAAACGCTGTTCAGGTTCAACGTAGAAGTTGTTTTAAGGGAAGGAAAAAGAGAACAAAGCCATAAATCTTCCTATACCCCTCTTAATCTGCATATAGTCTGAGCATTTAATGCTACAACTTCTTAAATACTATTGTTGTGACCGTGATTTACTAATTACGCATATTTATTTATCTACACACGTACCAACAGACTAACTCAATAAATTAAATCTCAAAACACTACCTGTAAGCACCAGAATATTTACAAACTGCAATAAATTAAAGACTAAGGTATGTAGGGTGCCGCATGTGGATTTCAAACGCCTCCCCAAGTAAGAACAATCGTCAGCTTCTGGGCTAAAATGCTGCCGCCTTCAGTGCCGCTGCCCAAAGCCGGAAGGAACGGGGTGGTGACAGACACCTGCCTGGGCCCCCCAGGGCCGAGGCAGACCCGGAGCTTTCAGCTTTTTTGGGCTGCAGAGCCGTCCTGGCCTGCCAGCCGCCCCCAGGGGAGCCGGAGCGGACAGGACAGCGGTGCTCATCGCTCCTGGTAGAAAGGTGGGCTTGGGGGGGGGGGGGGGGTGTTGCAGAAAACCCCCCAAACAAATAACCCCAACCCTCAGGTTTTACTGGAAGTTATTAAGAATAATGTTAAGCCAGAAAAACGTCATTCAAAATAAAGATTCAGGCTGACACAAGCACTTTGGCCGCAGAGGCAGAAATGAAAGTTACCCACGTCCTCAGCACCCTGTGGGGTGGGGGGCAGCCCCAGGGCTGTTCTCCACAGCGGAAGACGGGCTAGGGAAGTACAACTTCAGATCATAAAAGAGAAAATTCATTATGCTGTACGCTCTCAGTTCATCTTTTGCTAAAACAGGAAGTGTTACTGGGAGATGAAATCCCAAAGCTGAGTGTTTGTGAACAGCAAGGATCAAGGATCATCGCTCTGACCATATGTGCCTTTTTGAGAGCTGAAATGTTTCTGTTGCTGGTTTGTTTTTTTTTTGTTTTTTTTTTTTTTCTCCTTTTTAAATGAGCAGATCACTTAAGGGTACTGACTGGAAGAGAATGCCAGGAGTGGGATGGCACAATCTGTCCCAGCAGGAACAGCTGCTCCCCCCCCCCCAACTGCAGTTCCACAGCCACCCCCGGGGACTGGAGCGAAAAGCATCACACTGAAAAAGGGTGAGACACAGGAGACAATGCAACGGACAGAGCTTCTTAAGGAGGGTCCCTGGGTTATCAGTGCTTCTCCTGCACACACACATCTACAGTTCTCTCTCAGCTGCAGATATGAGCGCTGTTTGGTTCCGACCTGCAGGTGCAATGGAAGAGCCTCCACAAGCTTCACTGCACTTACCAAGTCAAAAATTAAAAAAAATAAATAGGAAGCAGTGTGAATTAAGGCAGGTAGCCATCTTGTTAGTTAATTTTTTCAAGTAGGGATGCTTCTATCTGCCCAAAGGACTTCTCTACCTCAGGCTGAAGGATTCTCAAATCCCATGAAAGGTTCCTCCTGACCAAAGAACTTCAAGAACTTCCAGGTACCTACTGTCACTTCACAAACCGCAAGGGCCAGGAAATTTGCAAGCCAGGAGTTGAAACACATACAGCCAGGGCTTTGTTTAGTTACCATCAATTATGGTAAAACTTCAGCAATACCAGGATCTTTTAGTAGTATTTTTCAAACATTGGCTCAAATGTACAAACAAAAGGTGGCTGATGCCAGTAATTCAGTCTTTACCTATGAAGATATTTTTTTACGGGCCAGTAACAACCAAGGGTTTACCGAGTCTCTCCCGTACGGTGTCACGGCCCTTCCCTACGTACTTCCTTGTATTCCAGACATCTGCAGCCCTGGTTTACAGAACTATTTCAGCTCTAACATGGAGGTAATTCTAGCAGTGAGAGTCTTTGTGCTAACACACAGGCAGCATCAGTTTTACACTGGTGGTGGTAAGGAAGCTGCTTAGCCTTGGCCGGCGGGACAGTAACACAGCACAAATCCTGCCCTGAGGCCACATCCCCGCTCTCGGCATTCCCTGACCACTTTTTTACCATTTGCTACTGGGCAGATGATCAGCAACTACCTGTAAAATTAAAAGGTGCTAAAAACATCCACTTGTAATCTCGTTTTCCAGTGGAATAAATACAACTCACTGGTACAGAAACTCTCCATCTGAAAAACAGCTCAGGTGAGTAATCCAGCTGTATCCTGAAGGTACCTGAGCTTACAAAAACACACTCATGAACACACCACAGACCGGAGTCAGTGACTAGACTCCATAATAAAGGAACTGTTAAGTTTCACAAAGTTTTTGACAAAGCAGAGCGAGGAGACAAGAGCTAAAAATCAATAAAGGACAGGTTCCATGAGACCAATTTTGAGTTGGCCAAACACCTTGCAACAGATTTTCAGAATTCTTGCAATAGAGTGCAAGTTGGAAAGACTTAAATTTAAGGAATTTAAATAAAGTCTATGTCAACTAGAACTACACAGCTTATTTGTTGCTGTTGGATGGAGTTGAACATTTTTTTCTTACTATTTTTGTCCAAGCAAATGTAGTGATTGAGCTGCATGCTGAACTAAGGTCAAAAACAAGTGCAGAAAAAGAACACAACTGTCCCCTGATATTGCCTGACTTGATATTACATAGCATCTCCTTCCTTTATCTTGCCTGTTGAAGTCTTGTGTCACGCTGCTAAAATAATAATCAGGATCGTACAGACCTCCAAACCCACAGAGCATCTTAAAAGCTAGCTTCTCAGGACTTGGATTGATCACTTCTCTCAGGACGGACACAGCCCTGAAATTTACAATGCACACTATAAAAATAAAAGACATACAATACCACTCTCTATTTCCAAAAACTTACAATTTTTTTTTCTATCTTATCTTTCTGGTAAGATCTCCCCCATAATTTTGTTACTTATAGGAATTTAAGTTTTGGGAACGAGGGAGACAATATTCTATTTATTTATTTTATTGACTTATTCAGAGGTTTCCAACCAAGCCTGGGGTCTTCACCAGGCAACAAAGAGTGGAATCTGAGGAATCTTCTGTCTTCTTAAGAGGAGGAGCTCACATGAACTCTTCAACATGTCTCTTCTCTCATAATAATTGAATTTGGGTTTTTAATATATTTAATCCAGCAAAACAAATGTCGCTAACTTGTATGGAACATAAACCACTTGGAGAGGCTGGTGATTTACAGGAATTGGTTATTTCTACTGAGAGGGATTTGAAAATCTTCAAGGTGACTTATGAATGCTAGGCTAACCTCTTAACAACTCCAGTGCATTTATTTCAGCAATTACTTTTCATACCAAATGTAAAGAAACCTAAAATACCGATTTTCCAATAAGCATACAAAAATAGTTTCTTACTCTCTGAACCAGTTTATGAAGTTCCTTTTGCTGCTCTCCAGTCAATACCCGTCTAACTGAAATAAGTTAGTACAATCATTTGTATGGGCTGTCTGCACACTGGACAGGGTTTGTTCCTCTTCTTAAGTTTTCTTGCGCAGGTGAAACACGACATGAGGTGTCCCGTTTTGCCATGTACTATGCAGCCATTTTTAGGTCTGCTCTGACATATAACACAGGGCTCTATGCTGGTAACAGGCAGACTGGATTCCATGCTTTCTTCTTTGTCTTGCATTTCTCTCTTCTCAGGTTCCTTATAGTCCTCCTGACTGCTACAAAACATGCTGCTTGATGTGGATGGCTGGGAATAATCTTCACTTTCCTGGGACTCAGAAATTTGTACTGCTTTATCCTCACTCTCCTCCACAGCTGGTTCTTTCTCTTCAGTCATTTTCACTTTCTTGCAGTCAGGAACATCAAAACCTTCCTCAGCCTCTAGAGGGATGGAACTTTCTAACTTGCTCTTTTCCAATTTATCACTCTTTTCATCTGGAAGCCAGTCCTCACGAAGGGCCCAGCATCTGTGGCAATGTCGTGGAAGCGGAGGATTCATTTCACTACATTCGGGACACTTCCAATAATCCTTTAGTGAATTAAAGGTTGGAACAGCTTAGGCTACTTGGAATGCTTACAACTGAAGTATTCAGAGATTACAAACAATTTATTACTACCAAAATACTTATCTTGAGCTACTGACCTGTTTGTAATTTGAAAACTCCATTCGGTGTTTGGCCCCATTTTACAGTTCTAGATTAAAATAGTCTTGATTTTAAAGAGACTCTCTGACTCCCTGATTTTATTTCTTTTTGCAGTAGATTTGTGAGAAAGAGGCAGAATACTAATGATTTATTTCTTATGCAAAACGGAAGAAAGCAGACCACAAAAGTCTTCAGAGAAGCTCACCAAAAACTTTCTGATAAAATGGTCACCCTTCCCATTATTTTTAACAATAGACTTCTGAAATGGAAACTATTCAAAGCTGAAGGGACATTTAACCTGTGGGATGCTAAGCTGCTGGTGAGCAAAACGGCCGGGTGAGGGCACTCTGACACAGAGGGAACAGAAAACACCCGTCATCAAAAAAAAAAAAAAAAAAAGGGGTGGGGTGCCCTGCATCACTATCTCAGAGGTTACTCCATACAGTATGCTGAAAATAAGCTACTATCTTGTTAAAAAGACAATTTTTAAGGAGAAAGACCTTTCTTAGAAATACCACATGCCATAGGGGGACTAAAATAACAAAACATATTTTAGAAGATTCAAAGCACTTTTTGTTTGAATCCTGAGTAACATCAGTGACATCAAAAGCTTAAAAGGCCAATTTTGATTCCCAAGAATAACATGCAGACATATTGTTCCATACATAAGCAGTGCTGTGTTTTCTGACGGTGGCTAGCCCTCTGTTTTACATACACAGTGAAGTCCCTCAGTCCTACAGACCATCAAGGGACTGGAACACTCCAGACAGTTTTGGAAAACAGCTTTATTCAAGCTTCAACTGTGAAAAGCAAATATGAAGATACACTGTGTTTTAATTCTAGTGTGTGCTTTTTAAAAATACGTCTACATACTTTGCCTCAAACCCCTGAACTTCTTCCCACGCTTCAAGAAAGCTCTCAGAAAATTTAGAAAAAGCCTCAATATCTTTACAGTACTGTTCTGAAAACAGGTTTGCCTTCACATTTGTATGCTAAATATTCATTCGGTTTGGGCAATAAAACTAGATATGATTTACAGAAAGATTTTTTAAAATATATATATGACTATGTCTTGTGTGTATGTGCAAAAAGTCGTATTTTTGGCTCGAAGTAATTTCCTTCCATTAAGTCAGTGAAACTGTAAGTTAGTGTGGAGTTTTCTTTTGATGGATTAGGAAGCTTACTAATAAAAAAAAACAAAAACAAAAACAAAACACCACCAAAAAACAAGTTCCTTAATAATCACATGTTCAGTAATTAAAATACTATCTTAGAATCTTTAAGCATATAAGAAAAAGTCCATTTAATTATTAAAAAAAAAAAAAAAAAAAATCACTGGTAGCAATAGAATTCATCTATACTCCTTGATCTAGTCTGTCAGTTCTCCCAACTTATGATGCTTTGCCAGTCAAGTTTTTACTCACAGCTAGAGAAATCTCTGGATCTTCATCAAATGAATCAGCATCACTATCTTCACCTTGATAAATAGTCAGCTGATATACCTGGTTTAAATAAAAGTAGTATTGATGTTAACTGGGTTTTGGCATTCAATTAAAAATCTGATAGATTTGATTAGATCTGATAGACTTTTAAGCAAACGTAGTCAAGTATATACGTTAATTTATGTTAGAAAGTAACTCCACAAAATCTGGTGACAGGCTTGGGGGAGAATAATTTCGGTCACACATCTAACACACAGTTTGAAGAAAAACGTAGACTAGACAGACAGAAGATACCACTTTCTAGAATAGAGGTGATCCTTCCACTCTGCTCAGCACTGGTGAGGCCACGCCCGGAGCACTGTGTCCAGCTCTGGGCTCCCCAGTACATGAGAGATATGGAGCTACTGGATGAAGTCCAGTGAAGGGCCACACTAAGATTATTAAGGGACTGAAGGAGCTCTCACAAGAGGAAGGGCTGAGAGAGCTGGGGCTGTTCAGCCTGGAGAAGAGAAAGCTCAGGCAGGGGCTTCTCAATGTGTACAAATACATGAAAGGCAGGTGTAAAGAAAATGAAACCAGGTTCTTCTCAGTGGTGTCCAGCGACAGGACAAGAGGCAAGTGGCACAACTGAAAACACAACAGGTCCTGTCTGAATGTCAGGAGACACCTTTTTTACTGTGGGGGTGACCAAGCACCGGCACAGGTTGCCCTGAGCAGCTGTGGTGCCTCTATCCCTGGAGACATTCAAAAGTCATCTGGATGCAGCCCAGAGCAATCAGCTCTGCTTGAGCCAGGGGTTGGATAATACGACCTCCAGAGGCCCCTTCCAACCTCAACTGTTCGGCAGTTCCCAACACTGCTGCTGGGAGCAGGGGCACACCTCAATCCTTCCTTCCTCCAAACCACTGCCTTACCTCAGGGCGCAGCTCAGCAGCACTGTAACCCAGCCTACATCAGCACAGCCAGTCCCATTCAGCCTCTCAAGTATCACAATCCTGTGTCCCTGGCAAAATCTGCCTCTGGTACTTACCCAGTGCTGCCATGAGCCGATTCACCTCTTCGAAGTAACAGAAAGCTAACCCAGAAAAAAAATAATTTCCCACTTCTTTCCTGACATTCCAAGTAGATAGATCTCTTGAAAACGATGGTACAATTTTACTGTCTTCTTTCCTCTTAATGAAAATTTCTAAAATTGTGTTTCAGCTTCTCTATTAAACATTTATATCCATGGAGGCAAATGATTCAGAAATAGCCCTTTGCAAAGAGTTACCAGAAAAGTTTTCATTCGGTATCAAAAATGCTGTCAAGGCTCAACACAGAGGTCTGCAATTAAATATGTAGAAACAGACTCAAGTACACATGCTGCCATCAACTCCAACAGCTGGTGAGTGAAGTTAAACGGACAGACTTTTCCAGACTGCCAAGAGTCTGTTTCAGAGCCTGCAGAAAGCCTTAGCACCATCCTGGTTACTGCCTGGCAGGTGTGTAACAGTGACCCAACTGCACAGGCACGTAATTTGATTTAACAAATGACTGGGTGCAGTGTGTGACATAGCACATGCAGTCCTGAAATAAACCCAGAGAGTTACATCTTCTCGTTGGAATCTCAACATGACATATTCCCGTAAGTTTCCTCCCCCTCTCACCACCCCCAGACAAAAAAACAAAACAAAACAAAACAAAAAAAAAAAAAAAAAAAACAAAAAACAACCAAAAACAAATGTGTACCTCATCATCTTCATCTGTGAGCTCCTGTCCTTCTTCATTATGGCTATAATCTTCTGAATAAATAGACTCAACTTCAAACTCTACACTGAACTGGTCTGAAACAGAACTATGCTCAAACCAATCAGAGTTTTCACTTAATGAACTGGCATCAAGATCCTGAAAGGAAAAAAAAAAAATACACATTCAATCTCACCAGTCCATATCCATAACTGTTACTGTTAAGATAGGTTGTAAAATAAAACTGAACTACTCAGTTTAATCAGCTGTGGAAGAAACAAGACCAGCTGCTCTTACAACATCTTTTATGGCACGAATGAATTATAGGTAGGTAAAAACAAAGTTAGATCTAAAAGCCTTTTGTCAGCTCTGTAAGAAGAGGCTGCAGTCAACCTTCAGAGTCAGCATGAAGACTGCAGCTATTATTTCACAAAGGCTCCCCTAAAACATGAAGGAACATGTGCAGGAAGATGCTGTCTTTTGGCTGCATGTCATTAAATTCTCTATTCTCATCAACTGTTAACCTCAATTTGAGACAGTGGCTAAACAATCATAAAATAGCAAGAGTGAAGATACAGTATTAGTGCTGACAATCCAGAATACAGTAGATGACTAGGAATACTGTTAAGTTTAGCTCTTCATGACTTAACCACAGATAGTTTGCCTCAGTGTTTGCTGAAAACAACAACAAAAAACAGTAAAGGCTTGAAAAATTAATACAGCCTATCATCAGGGCTCTACTCTGTTCAGTTGCCAAAGCTGTACCAGAACTACCAACTATTCTGAACTATGGAACATCCGTGACTGGTTTTCTTCTCTTAGCATTCTAAGAAATACTTATTTTTAAAACACAAAATTTATCTGGCATTTTTTCAATACTGTGCCAAGCAGTAAGAATGTTTTTTTATAGAATATTCAAAGTTAGTATCTTACAAAATTTCACTTCAGCTTTGTCAGCAGATCTATGGAAGACCCCACTCCACCCACACATCAACTTTTCTTTCAGCCTCTTCCTTCCTCAGACACCACTGAAGGCACTGCTGCTTTTAATTAAAAACATGATGTTTTAAGATGCATATTTGCACTTGTGGTATCTGCAGAATTTGTACCACAAAAATATATATTTTGACTTACAGGAATTGAAAGAGAATCTGTTGAATCACTGCTATTGCTTCTTTCACGGCACAGACCACTGACTACACACCATGAGAGACTTTCATCAAACGTCAACGAAATGCTGTCTGACTTGTGTCGTTTTCTTCTGTCACTATGCAGATCATCTGAAGAATTTTCTTCTGGGCACATTCAAGAATTTTTATTACTCCAAAAACATCTATGCAATGTGCAGTTTTGAATATTCTTAACAGAAGCTTAAAATATAATTTACTTATACAGGAATTTAAGAAAAATAAAGTCATTTGGTATTACTTTATGGGGGAAAAAAAAAAAAAAAAAGTAAAGGCACCAGAAACTTGTTTAAAAAGGACAGAGTAACACTGAGAAATGTGAAAAGTGTGAAACATTCCTGAAACCAGTATTTCAGGGGCTGGCTTTCCCCACTTGTCCCATCAGTACAGCTTGTAAATGGCAGTCTCCACATGCAGGAAATAAAATAACTGCAAATTTGGAAGCATTTTTACTCCACATATGACACGTTAAACCCCTCCTAATTTTACAAAATACAGTTAGGCTCTTAACTGTCCTAGCACCCTCTACAGTCAGCAGACAGAAGGACACTTTCAGAAAGCTGCTGAGTCCATCCCAGAAATTTGCAGGGAGACAGAACAACTAGCTCCCAGGTCACATGCATACAAAGGACCTCATGCTAAGGAAGGGAAGTTCAAGTTCCAGTTTCAGACACCTCAATGAATTTATCAGTTAATATCTGTGCTATACGTAATCGTATTTACTCAACTGGATTTTTGTAACAAACGGTTATGACTTTCACCACACACTAGCAAGAAAATCTTCAAGGCATACTATGTAAAAAATTTAATCCTGAAAGCATTGCTTTAAGCTGTGCTTATTAAATATGCTTGGTTTGAAGGCAAAAAGACAATGCTTTTTAAATATATCATGTTTTGAAACAACCACCTACAGCAGCATAAGGACTAGGGGGACAGCATTTTAGGGGTAGGCAAGTCAAAATTCAGCTCCACTGACTTTCAAAGTGTTTGGTAAGAAACATTTTTATTTAAAAAGCCATTGTAAAGTCAGTATGCAAGTGCAGCGGAGTGAAAACTCCTCAAGAGGCCTGACAACCTGGTTCAACAGACCTCGGTAAGAGCCTGCCCCTTTAGAGGTGCCTTTTGCACCCACCCTCCATTGCCCAGCTTCTCCCTTTCCTTGCAAAACACCCCCTGACAATCCATGAGTCTTCAAGTCTTGAATCTTTCATTGTAAAAGAAAAGAGAACAAAACACTTGTACATACTTTGAGAATTCTCTTACTTTCCCTTGGTGCTTCTTGGCTCAGCCCCTCTCTTTTCTTTTTCCGCCCTGAGAGCCCCACCAAATTTGGTGCCCCCAGGCCCAAGGGTTGCTCCTGTCCATCGTTGTCCTCATTTAGTTGTCATGGCTCCATGCTGTACTGATACTGTATCACCACAAGGTTTCTATACACTATATAAGCGGCTCCAAAGGAGCCGCTACCATCCCAATTTAACAAGAATAGTGGTTTAAAAGGAAGATTTCCTATAAATTAGAAAAAAAGTGTATATAAAAACACTATATTAAAAGAACTTTTAAGGTTGTAACAAACTAATAAATGGATGCAAAGACAAGAGTTAATAATCAAACCTACAATAAGTAAGCACAACACAGGACCTTATGTGCTCTGGGTCATGCCTAAATATTACAGGTTATGATGTTTAACCTAGACTTTCCATCCTTTCACCAGTTTTTGTTACAACATTAAAACGTTCTTTTAATTTAGTGCAAACCGCTCAGCAATGCAGCACAGTTTTTGGACTGACTAACAATAACAGTGGCCTATGATGAACGCAAAAAAATACCACACAAAAGCTGAGGAGCTGAAAAATGTTCCCAAGCAAGCGAAGAAAAGGAAGTTCTATGCAGTAACAGAAGGTTATCGCTGCCCAGGTAATTACAACCACCAACTCGCCAGGTAACAAATTAAGTGATGGAACAAACTAACGTAAGAAATTCCACAGAACAGTATTTAAGTTGAACTGCAGAGAACACCTCCATTGAGAGACTTATTCAGGTTTACACTGACCAGCTTGTTATTTGCTAATTATTGGAAGAAACATTCCACATTTTGAAAATGTATTTGCCAGTGATTACTGAATAACCACAGTAAAGAGAGAGAGGAGACAAATACAATGCTTAAGTCACCAGATGTTTTAAGAAGATCCTTAATGAATGGTCAAGTACCAAAACACATCCAAAATCATCCCATGCTACTACCAGACCTTTGATGTCTGCCACTAGTTGAAATCCAATGAAAACTGGCTTTAGAGAGCAAACAAAATGTAAAATTTTGTGGCCTACAGAGGGAACTGGAATTAACTTGACTACATCAGTCTATTACAAACAAAAGTGTTCTCATCATTAAGGTAACGCAACGATTAAGTCCTGCTGATGGGAACAAGTTTAACAGATCTGTGGAACAAGTTATTCCATCATCTTACTAACAGTTCTAGAGATCCAAACTGTAACATGACACTGGAGCAATGCAAGGACTTGTGTATTTCTACCAGACTGAACATTTTGTTTTAGATAAGCAGAGAAACATGAATAGTATTTGTCAGTATTTTTCAAGGTCAGCAAGGCAATAGAATGTACTTTTTTTCCTAAGTGGCCATGCTACTGAAAGCTCTGCATCATAAATCTGCACATACCAGACTCACTGTGTGTTCTCCTCCTAGAAGATGTAGTTGCTTGGGAAGTCATGTTTGAAGTCTGCTTCTCTTCTAACTCTTGCATAGATTCCTGGTTAACAGAAATACTGAGTAAGCCTGCGCGTGACTATGAAGTGAAAGGTTAGAAGCAACTAATTGCATCTAAACCATTGACAGTACCATGCAAAACTAAATAGATCCAAAAAAAAAAAAAAGTCACCTTTAGAACATTTTCTTCAAGCTGAAATCTGGAATCATCCTCAGGTGTGTCAGCAAGCGCAGAGTCTGAAACCAACAGTAATAGAGCACAGCAGAAAAAGTCCATTTCAGGCTCAAAAACATTAGAATAAAAGCAAGGGAGAGAAGTAACTGCACACAGTATTTACAATCCAGACATTTTGCAACAATGGAAAAAACAACCCCATTCTGTTGTTTTTCAGGTGTGTGCAGCACTTTCCCTGTAACATTATTGAAGTGGGAAAGTGGGGTGAAGAAGAAATCTCAACAGCAAAGTAGCCGAAAATTTTATTAAAATGCCTTCAAATGAAGGCTGTTCATTAGCTAGGATTTGGCAGATATGAAAGAATATAGGCAGGAAATATTTTACACTTTGGAGAGGAAGAAGTATATTTTATTAGCCATCATCTTATGGGAACTCTGAATAAGACATTAAATATACAAAACAAAATAACTGCTGTTCATTATATATGCTTACTACCAGAAAGACCCTGAATTAATAAATTATCTCTTAATAGAAGCATCTGAGAAGTAATTTAAGTTTGCAAGCCTAAGAATAAAGGGCAATAGAGCATGTTTACCATCTTCAGGAACTGAACACTTGCCTTTAGGAAGAATCAGAAGCAAACGGCATCTTAATATGGATTTAGAAGCCAATTTACACAACGGCTTCCATTGTTTAACTTCTGGTTCCCTCCTTGTATTAATCAAAAATTACAGCTATATTGAGCATTTTTATACTGCAGGAAAGATAACAGTATGTAACAATTCTCCATTTATGGAGTGGCCATCCACAAAGTTACCACAAAGTTCCTTTCTTAGGTATACAGACCTTTTAAAACAGGAATCAGTGTAGCTGAGGGTGACCAGTTCTAAAGGTACTCCACATTAAGTTTTGAAAAATAAACCAGAACACTAACAGAAATAATGAAAAACATTTGCCCTGACTTCATTGCTGGCACAAGTCCAAGAAACTAATTTTTCACATTAAAACTTTTTATGTTGTCCAATGCTTTATTTGTAAGAAAAACAAGCAAACGACTAATTTTTCAATTTAGTCCTCTTTGTGCTCAGCTCCGATTGTGCTCATTCTGGTTCTAGTCCAACAACATTATCCAAATGCTGTTCAGATTTTTTTTTTTTCTCCCCCAGAAGGAACAGTGTTTGCTTTGATTCACTCTTTGTGATCGCTCTGGACAGTAGTGTGTGCAAAGCCGAATAGCTAATTATGGAGAGATTGATGTTATCTGATCACTACACCCAGGATGCATGAATGTAAGTTATATTTTTCCTACTATTTCCCCAAACAAAACGTATTCCCAAACTAGCTTACCTTGTTGATTGATTGCTATCAGATTTCTGGAAATCATTGAATACAGTCTCCTTAGATGGGGATAAAGAAAGAGATGTTGCAAGTTAGCTACATTTAATTATAAAAGAGAGCTTACCATCTTTGAAGATGCAAAGAGTTAAAAAAGGCCATACGCATCAGGTTCTCCATTATTTCACAACCAGACTCTCAGAAAAGAATCCCATTTTACCTGTGTTCTTTTACTGAAAAGCTTGTTACTCCAAATAAATCCCCCAGGAGATCATTTGCACAGTGTACAATATGTTGTTGTTTTTCATCATATAATTGTTTAGACATAATATATTGTCCAAGATAGAATATTACCTGTAAAATAAATGACATACACAGACATTAAATACCAGGTTCTGTTGTTTCAAGTTTAAGACAAAACACATTAATTGAGATTTGCTCTTCTTGCTTTGATTGCCTAAAACTCCCTCTGAGCTGTGATTTTTGCCTATCATTCCCTAAATACTCTGCTGTTCTGCTTCTGTTCAGATTTTGAGAGACTTGCTAAACACCACCTAACAAGTCCACAGAATAAAAACAATCCCTTGCCTCAATATCTTCTAGATAAACTGTGAACTACATTGGCCCACATTCACTCAAAACAAAAGAACAATTTATCTGTACTCACTGTAATCTACCTTTAGTGATTAAAGGTTCTCACCTCCTTCATAGTAAAAGTGTCCTTTTCTGCACCAGCTAGCTTTAACAACTTCAACAACAGTGGCTTTGGTTTAACCTGTGTGGGGAAGAAAAACAGCATGCATCACAGAACACAATTTATGCAGGTTGGCTTCCTCTTTCTGTATTAACCTGATACACAAACACACAGCTACATTAAAACCTACATCCAAGTTTTTTAATTTGCAGAGTTAAACTTAAAAGAAAGCAACACAAACCCAATCATACTAAACTTACACACTGTACATCTCAGCTCAAACCCCAGTCTTTCACTGGTACATACAGATTCCTTGATTTGAGCTACAGGACTCATCTGGTAGTTCCAAGCACAGGGCTGGGTGATGGGGAGTTGGGCTTCACTCCTTTAGTCACTGCAGTGACTCCCAAAGGGGAGGGAGGAAGGCAAAGGGACCTTCCTGACTGCCAGGTGCAGACTGCAAGTTACAAAGCAATACACTGGTCCACCTCTTTCCCACTGTCTTCCTGTGACAGTTTCGGGGGCTGCGGTTTTGCATTTGCCAGCTGGGCTGCTTTTCCTCTGAAGACTTTTCTCACCTGGGATAAGCACACCCCGTGATTTCCATCATATTTCTATCACTTCTACCTCTGCAACAGCCCCTTACCCACGCACTGTGCCAGCAGAGTTGTATCTGCAGGCAGTCTATGACAATTTCTGAGGTTGAGAAAGGAAACATTAAAAAAAAAAAAATTACTTTTCCCCCCCCCCATTTTTGGTTTGGAAGTTTCTTGGAGTTTTTTGTTTTTGTTTTGTTTTTTTTTTTTTAAAAAAAAATTCTGGCCAGAGCAGTGTCTTGATCCCATTCACTGTGCTGTTACACAAACAGCTGTGGCAGTACCAGAGTACCAGTGCAGGAGAGAACAAGCTGCAGGGGCTGCCACAACTGCAAAGAAAATGCCTGTGGAGCCACTGATGGTTCCCAGTGCAGCATCTTCTAGTATTGCCACTTTAACAAAAGAATAATCATTTTAAGAACAGTCTAATATTCAGCTATCCAAATACATTCCCTAAAATAAGACAAAATTATTATAGAAAATAAACGTTTTATAGTGAAGTGTGAATAAAATATCATTAAGACAACGACTAAATGCTTAAGGGGAGGTGGGAAGGGAACCTCCCTACTTTCTATTTCTAATACCTGCTAACACCAACGTTAAGATTTAGTGCACTAACAAGAGATTAGTTGTAAGAATCACACCTAATGAAAAGAATAAATGAGCTTGTGGACAACGTTCGATGTCTATTCCTGCTTTCCTAAGTGCTGAATTATTCAGAGGGTTCGGCATATAGGAGTTTCATAAAGGAAGCAAACAGTAACCTATTAAACTACTAATGACAGCATAAGAAGGCAAAGCACAGGTTTCTGGATCCACAACTAGACCCATGGGCTCCCTCTTCCCCGACTCATGCAAATATGAAGTTCTTCTGCCACGCAGACCTGACAGAAGAAGGTAGTACCAAATTGTGATGACTTAAATGAAAAACAAATGAACAACAAAAAAAAAACAAAACAAAAAAAAAAAAAAAACAAAAAAAAAAAAAAACAAAAAACTTTGACCTGTCTGCTGTTCTATTACTTGCTTTTTTGAAGTTCTGCTATCAGTCTACACTTTTAAGCTTTACCCTTCTAGAAAAAGCAATCCATTTCAACAGTCGTACACATGCCATTTTTAACTCTCATCTCTGGTAGAACACACAAGCTTCCATCCTCAGGAAAACTTAGACAGAAAGCCAGGATAGCAGAACTGTCACTGGATCACGGAAAAGCCTGGATATGCAAAGCCATAAACACAAATGAAGACTCTTACTCCAACTTGCTTATGAATTCCAATAGAGGAGAAAGTGAAAATGCCAAATCTGAAAACCTTCAGTTGTAACAACACGATTATTTCATAAACAGTGTATGTTTTGCACAACAGAGATCTTCCACAACTCTTCAGTTATGAACTGTTACCAACTTCCACCATGAAATGCTTACCATGATCAAATCAGACTGTAAGATCCTTCTCATTAAAAGAAAACAACCTGACCATCACAGGTCCCCTGGAAACAGAGTCTAGATCTAAACCATCACCCTCAGCTCTCAACCACGAAAGATTTGCTTTGCAATTACAGTATCAAAGAGAGACCATCTTCACCGGATTTCCTGGCTTTTTTTTAACCATCGCTCAGCTGAGCAAAGCAGCCCTTCTGAATTAGCAGATAAAAACTCTGCAAAAAAAAAAAAAAAAAAACCATGAAAAACACACAAGTCCCCGCAGAGCTACTGACCAGCGCCTCTTGCTCTGAAGCGGTGACAGAAGATGCATCCGTAAGGGAGGACATCTTGGTATTGCACATTTGCCTGCCAATTAAAAGGAGAACAACCTCAAAACGTGGAACACAACCACACAACCCGGGCTCCCCCGCCCTCACGCCCAGAGTCACCCCGGGGATGCAGCCGCGGTCCCCCACTTACCTCGGTGCCCTGGTCCAACCCAGAGGCCGGGATCCGGCGGCGGGTAGCCGGGCCGAGCCGACCCGACCCTTATATATAGCGCTGCCAAGAGGAGGCAAGTCGGGACTTAGCTCCCCGGCCGGCTGCGGCCCGACATGCCTGAGCATGACCCGGAGCGGCGGCGCTGCCGAGTCACGGCGGGGGGGCCGGCGCTGACTCACCGCGGCCGCCTGAAGCGGGGAAAGGCGGGGGGGGCGGCGGCGAGAAACAGCCCCGTCTCCACACCGCCCCCCCCCACCCCTCCCTCCCGCGCCGGCCTCAGCGCCGCGCCCCGAGCGATGGCCCCGCCGCGATTCTCTCGCCCGCCCGCCCGCCCTCCCCCAGCGCCCAGGCCGCCACACGCGAGAAGCGAGCCCCGAGCGACCCCTCACAGCCGCTGCCCTTCCCCCCCCCGCCCCACGAAGCGACCCGGGATCCCCACGCACCACCAGCCGCGCCCGCTCCGCTGCCCGGCCCGCGGAGGACCGGGGGGCAGGCGGGGGGGGGGGGGGAGAGCCCCCCCTACCACGCCGCAGGGCCGCCTGTGCCCCGCGCCGCCATTTTAGCGCCGCGCCGCGCGCGCCCGGTGCTCTCCCCAGCGCCCCCTAACGGGCGCGGGGCAACGGCCGCGCCGCGCGCGGGCCCCAGGAGATGCTGCTCGCACAAGCGGCGGCGGCGGCGGGGCCCTGTCCACCGCTGCCCTGCCATCACCTCCCGACCCCGGGGCGTTTAATGAAGAGACAGCCTGGCCCTGCGGCGTCGGAAGGGACAGAAAAGCGGTGCCCGGGGTGAGGGTCAAAGAGGACGAAGGCCTGGCAGCAGCAGGCGCTGTGGAGACCAGCAGGGAAGCAGGGCGCTCGGCCAGTGCTTTGCTGGTGGCTTCTTTCCTTGCTGGTGTCCCTCCTCTTCTTGTCCATCGTAGCTTTTATCCCCTCCCATCAGTGTTTACGCCACACCAAAAAAAAAAAAAAATCGGGTTGTGGTAAACAAAACATGTTGTGACTTGTGGACGTGAAGCATTGGGGAGGTACAGCTGGAAGAACAAGGCTCATTGCTAACAGCAAGCCTACAAGAGTGCGACTGTTCCCTACAGATCCTCACTTTACTAAAAACTTAAACAAACCTTGTGCTGATGTTGAACACCTCTCTGAGTTCCCCTCAGGCACATCTGGCAGTTTCGAGGCACAGGCCAAAGCCATGCAGTCCCTACGAGTGGCAGCCAGCGGGACCCCGGCTTTGGGAGCTCCGGTTTGGAAACATCAGACCTTCTTCTTTGGGGATAAACAGCTTTAAGACTTCTGATGGCAGCGTTGTACTTCTGTAAAACCAGCTGCAGCAGATGTTAGTGATAGAAAACATGCCGATTTATTCCAGGGTTAACAGCAGAGACTTGCTTATAGTCCGTGTAAATTCAGGGACACAATAATAAAAGTATTGCTTGCCTGTCTAATAGGTAATGACATCTTCGGATAGTAGTTTGATTTAGAATGCTCATTTGTGCCTTTTAAGTTATTTTTTTCACTGATATTTAGGGAGAGCAAACTAGGAGAAACTTTACATCCAAAGAGAATTGGATGCTGTCATACTCTCCTATATTCCTGTCATCTCCCACTCTATAATTTTGAGAATCTTTTAAGTGTAGGGTATTTGGAAGTATGTTTTTGAAGTATGTTATTTTGATAGGTACTTATTAATTGCTACATTCGATTAGACCTGGCTGGTTTTTAGTCTGAATCCCTTTTCTAATTCTCAGGTTTTTTCTTTGCCCATAGCAACATTTTAAAATTATATTTGAATAGTGAAAAGATTTGTTAGGGAACGTGAGTGCTGCAGATAGTGTTTAAAGATACGCTAGAGCAGAGTGAGCATAATGCTAATTTTCCATGACAACTAACTTGTCCAAACAAGCAGTGGATAACTGCCTGGACTTGTTCATTGGTCAAATACAGATACTCAGCAACCATGGCACCTTGTAAAAATTCCAGCAATAGTTTAAATCTAGATATTTGTGTGATGATGTTCAAGACGAGCTTGTTATCCCTCTAGAGCATAAAGCTCAAGGTCTAGTGACGGACAGCTGAGAAGCTGCCAGAATTTTGCAAAGCATGCTCACCTCCTGTTAGCTCCGGAGTTTCAAGGCAAACCGAAATCTGGTTTAAGTGGAATGTCCTGCCACAGGCAAAGTCAGATATCTGCTCATTTCCAAGCAGCACCCCAGTTCCTGAGATCCTCAGCGAGCTGGCTTCATCATATGGAGAAAATTATGTCTATACAAAAATGCAAGAAGATAGAACCAAAGAGCTACATTCAGTTGATGTAACGCTGAATAGCAGTACTATCGATGCTCAATCTTGTCCTGATGTGGTGTGAAAACTATTTAGTTCCTACACAAAATGCATTTTACTGAACGGAAGCAAAACAAAACCAGAGTGTTTATATAGTTTTCCCAAAACTATATCACATTATTGAGCCTCATCTTAAGCACAGTGTAATCTTGCTAAGGCTGTGTGGAAATTAAGGTGCTTTTTGAAATAAGCAGTAAATTTTCTACACTCCAAGACTTATCAAACTGGTAACTATGACTTTCTTTTTCCACTTCTCAACCAATAAGCGTCTTGTGACCAGTGATTTTGAGATTAAATTGGGATTTTTTTTAAATAATAACTTCCCTTACAGATTCATTAACTGCTAAGGAAAAAAAAAAAACTGTTTCTGTGTAGAATTTTTACCAGTCTTCAAGGACAATCTTATCTCTTAGACAGACTAATCTCAAGTAAGGGGAGGCTGTGAGTAGGAAAATACGCTGTCTGTGCTTGTTCAAGGAGATAGGGGAATATTTTCTGACGTGCAGAGCTGTACCACTTCTGTCCTGTTTGTCACCAGTTTGTCACTAATACAGCACATGCTATGTCATCAACATGCATAATTATTTTCTTACGCTTGATCATTCAGGACAAGTATAATTAAAAAGTTCTACTCGAAGGGCGAGTAATAAGCTTGTATAGTTACAAGAGTGACTTCCCCAGTGTTTCAAGGTCATAAAAAGAAAAGCAGACATCGCTACAGCAAGATCCCACCTGTGTATTTTATTTATGTTACAGAAAATATCAGGAGCAGAAGTAGCCCAACTGCTTTAACTGGAGATACTGCTTTACATCGTGGCTAACTAATGTGGTATGAGACCCCTTTTAATATAAACTTAGATTCTAATTGTGGACATTTCATTGTTTAATGCTTGCAAGCTAAATTAGTTTCAGAGATGGATCTAGTCTACTTATAGGCACATATGCCAGAGGAAAGATGGGTCACTGTGCTGCAGGGGTACCCAACTCAAGTGAAATGGGTGGACCGTTAAAGACATCAGTTTCAGGTTTTTGTTGCTCACAGTAATTTTTCTTTTTTTCCCCCAGCATGTCTTACTTACCCTCTCCTGGCCACTGCCTAGTCAGCATCCAGCACATACATGAAATGGCCCAAAGTTCCTAGATGCTGATCAGAGGTGTAGGTGGCCAGGGTTTGACAGGTCTCACCTCCAACCCGTTTGCTGCTTCTTGGCTATCAGATAGGTTAACTTCATGTGCTATCAACTGCTCCCAGACAGGGGGAAAAAAAAATAAAAATCAAAACCTCTTGGGCCTTACATTGTACTGATGTATCCCCTTCTGAAGCCTTAGACTGCATCTCTATTAATGTGACACAAAGCTGTGATCAGCCATGTGCTGCAGATTGTCAGGCGCCGCAAGATAAAAGGACAGAGGAAAAAGGATGCCAAAATGCAGCTGGGGCATGTGTGGGTTAACGGGGCTTTCTGCCAGGCCTGCCCGCTCCAGCCCTGACCCCACATGCCAGTCAGTACAATTCTGTACAAATACAAGAGAAAGAATTCTGTTGTTTCCTTGACATTCCTCTTTTGTTGTGTAAGAAAAAGCACATTGATAGGAAAGCCTCAAACCAGTAGTAGCATTTTCAGTTCAGAGAACCTATACTTCAGAAGGAAAGACCAATCTCAGTGGAGAGATCTGTGAGTTCCACGACTGGAAACCTTTTACTATAAAAGAAACCCAAATTCTACCAAATGAAAAGAGGACGCAGCCTCCCTGGGGGTGGTTTTGAACAGATACCAGTGACAAGCAGGAATCCAGAGCAAGGCTTGTAGCAGCACTGGGAACGTAAAGGCCACATCCGATGCTGTCGCAGCTATTTAACAGGCAACGCTAGGCTGTACTTTGCTGTTAAACTTGTGTTTTTCTGGTGCACAGGAGCTGTGTCTTTGAGCTGCCCAGGGCTGCACTGCCCTTCCCAGCAACCCCAGCTGCCCTGCGGACTGGGTGGCACGGCAGCGTTCTGCTGCTTCGCCTGTGTGCGCACCCTGGGCTCGACTACCTGCAGTATTTGATGGGTGCTTTGGATATGAGATCGGCAGTTTCCTACATTCCCATAACTCCAGATTCAAACTTTTTTATTTTGAAAAATGTAAAAATTACTTCGGGTGGACTGGCAAGGCTGGTCTCAAACAAAATGTTTTTCTAGCAGCTCTCACCTCCCTCCCACAGGCAGGCAGTTCAGGTGTGCCCTGCTCCTGCGAGCATCAAATACAAGCTGCTTCAACACCACCTGGAGCTGGAACCATCCCACATCAGAAGACAGAAGTTATCCTGCTTTTGTTTTGTTGGCATTCATTTGTGCATCTGGGAGACATTGGTAGTGTGTCTGCCCAAATCTGCTTCCTAATTGGTAGCAGCTCAATCAGCCACAAGCAAAATTAAACAAAACAATAGTGTATGCCTTCTGAAGGGAGGCCAACTGGCAAAAATGTAAACCAATTATCTTGAACTGCTGCTTAGAAGTACTCTAACATGGAATGAAAGGTTTCTGTGGCTTTTTCCCCCTCTAGTTTTCTGTTTAGTTTTCGCTTTTGAAAGAAGCTCATGGAGCAATTCTAAAGAACTGAACGGGAAAAATCTCAGGAAAAGGCTCTTCTTACTCTCAGTCGTTTTGGTTAGGAGCATCACTGAGTGAATAAATACGCTTTTTTCCTACTCTTGTTATGCAGGGGTGAAGTATGTGGCTAGATTGTGACCATTTCCTGCTTTACTAATCTGTAGATGTGAAAATTAAATAATCCAGTGATCTCTTCTTTTGTAGGTGTACTTGATTGCATGTAATTAAATCAGAGAAAGCCTCAGTTTAACAATGGTCATCTATCTTGTTTAAGCAAACTAGGATGACCCCAGTTCAGTTTAGAACTGTTCATTTAATTCAATGCTCATTGTTATGCAAATGTACTATTCAGTCTAGCACAAAATATGTCTCTGTTCAAGGGAGTAGCCTGGAATGGGGGTGTGGGGTGTGCACAGGCTAACAGAACTCACCTGGAAGGCTGAGATGTCTTTCAGAAGCTCTTGAGCAAACAGTGAAATGTATTCAGGGACAACCTAGATCTAGGAGAGGCTGAGAGCAAATGTAGCATGGAATCCAAATCCGGTCTGTTTGGGGTGCTGTGTATGGACAGAACTACAGCTGGGGATGAGGTCAGGCATGAAGTACTATTCAGTTCAGGCTGCAGTTTGGGTTAGAGGATGGGAAGCCAAAAAAATTATTTTAACTGTCAGTCTGTTACTTGAACTGTTTGTCACTAACAACAAAACCCAGCGGCGTGTTTTATTACACAACTCAGACCCTGTGTATGCAGCTGACTGTGTATGTCCTAGAATTGTCCCAGTCTTACTAACCCATTTGTCCACATCTCCCCCACATGCTTCCACGCTTGCTTCCTAGCTGCCTGTCACAGAAGGAATATATTC